CACTCCAGCATCTATTTCTGAGGTGTGTTCTCCATATGAGTATAACTAATGAAAAATCAGGAGCCTCTAAATGTTGTTTTCCATGCTTGATTAATAAAACAGTTTATCTTTCCACTCACTTGCCTATTTGTTCTGTAGACAAAATCTAGATACTATTTGCTGCAGAATATGTAGGGCTTTCTTTTTAAGGGAAAGGTCTATGACTGGAAAGAAGAAAGAAAATAGTCTCCTTAGCAGAGGTGGATGTTCCTGTGGTGTTGGCTGCTTCCTTCCTTGATGAAGCATGGGAATGCTGGAAGAAGAGCAGTGATTCATAGGCAACAGGAAGAGAAACAGCTACGGTGGGGGTTGTTGAGGAGAGTAGTGATGATGTTCCTCTAACCTCACTAGACATGGGAACTTTGAGGACAAACAAGTGACAGGTTTTTGTCCTTTAGGGCTGTGACTTTATGACAGAGGACCCTCTTTGCAATCTGTGCCACAGTGGCCGCCCATCCTCAGGTCACACTCCTTTTCTGCGCTCCTCGGTCTCCGTGCCCTCACTCTGCCCAGAGGAGACACCAAGGGGCTGGCTCCTGTGCTATTAGTTAATGGTGGCTGATGTGCAGCAGGTCTCTGCGGTTGCCCTGTTTGGACTTCTCCCTCAGAGAAGTGGGGGCAGAGTGGGGGGAGTTATTAATTGCTAGTTCCTGTGTTCACTCCAGCAGGTGACAGGACCATGGGTGACAGACAGAAGGGCAAGCTTCATCAGGAAAGTCCTGTGAGAGCTGAAGTGCATCTGTTCCCCTCCAGAAAGTTCACGGAAGATACGCTCCAGGGCGCCGATCAAAGACAGGACTGCAAGCAGGAGCTGGAGGCAGAAAGTGAGGTGGAGACATCTTTTGGAAAGAGGCAGGGAATGATAACTCCCTGTGGAATGGAAGTCTGGGAGTGCGAGGACAGTGATAGAGCCCACATCAGCAAGGTTATTCTTGCTGGGGACAAGCCAGACCCACCCATGTGTGGGAACGGTGCCATTTGGATTCAGCAGGTGGGAGAGAAAACCTACGAGTGTCCCGAGTGTGGGAAGAGCTTCAGCCGGAGCTCATACCTGAGCCAGCACCAGAGGATCCACCTGGCAGAGAAACCCTTCAGCTGCTCCGAATGTGGGAAAAGTTTCACCCGTAACTCAGACCTGATCAAACACCAGCGGATCCACACCGGCGAGAAGCCCTACCAGTGCAACGAGTGTGAGAAGACCTTCAGCCAGAGGTCCAATGTGATCAGGCACCAGAGGACCCACACGGGAGAGAGACACTACCAGTGCAACGAATGCGGGAAGAGCTTCAGCCAGAACTCGCATCTCATCGTCCACCAGCGAAGCCACAAGGGTGAGAAACCCTTTAATTGCCCCCGGTGTGAGAAAAGCTTCAGCGACCGCTCCTCCCTGATCATACACCGGAGAGTCCACACCGGAGAGAAGCCCCACAAGTGCCAGGAGTGCGGGAAGCGTTTCCGGGACAGCTCGGCCATCATTCGGCATCAGAGGATCCACACGGGAGAGAAACCGTACGAGTGTACTGAGTGCGGGAAAACCTTCCGGCAGAGCTCCTCGCTGGTGACCCACATGCGAACGCACACAGGCGAGAAGCCCTACAAGTGCCCCGTGTGTGGGAAGGGCTTTAGCCAGAGCTCAGCGCTCACCACTCATCGCCGGATCCACGGGGGGAAGGCCTTGCCCATGTACCACGGTGGCCTCCTGCCCAGCCCCTACCAGTGCACTGAGTGCGGCCGGAGGTGCAGCGACCACTCCACTCTGGCCAAGCACCAGACCATGCACGCCGAGGAACGGCCCTACATCTGCGTGGAGTGCGGGGACAGCTTCCGGCGGAGCTCGGCTCTCAACGTGCACCTGAGGATCCACCGCGGGGAGAGACCCTACAAGTGCGAGGAGTGCGGAAAAATGTTCAGGCACAGCTCAGCCCTCGGTGCCCACCTGAGGATCCATGCAGGAGCCAAGCCCTACCAGTGCGGCGAGTGTGGGAAAAGCTTCCGGAAAAGCTCGACGCTTAAAGTGCATTTGAAAATCCATGCGGCCAAGAAACCTTATAAATGTACTGTGGGTAGGAGAATGCTCACTTCCCGCTCACTCCTGCCATAGGGCTGGAGCGGATGTTCGGAGCAGGAAACAAAAGCAGCGTTTGGGGGTACCTGAAAAAGGTGGGTGATGAGAACCACAGTGGGAAGAGACTGACTGGAGACACAGTAACTCTGGTGTCAGGGCTGGGTGCTTAACCCCAGCAGCACAAAAACCATTAGGAGGTCTGGAAGCAGGGAGTTAGTCCCAAGAGCCAAGTGCTGGTGGTTTAGAAAGAGTGCTGAGAACCTGAGGAACAGGCACCAGCTTCTGGGTAAGTCAGGGACTGTGAATATGCAGTAGAATAACAACTGGGAGAATCAGGCTTGTGAAATAACTTTACAGGTAAAGTGAAGCTCAAAATAAAGAGTTCCAGGTTGGTTATGACTCAAAACTTTGGCCTGTTAGACGCTGTAGTAGTCTTAGGAGCTCTCTTTTTATGACCTTCCCTTATTTTTCATGCAGGTAGTAAGTTTACCCAGTGTTTAACAAGGTGCTTCCAAATCTTTTGAGTCCAAGACTTTGGAGCTGAACTTCAGTCTATTTGTCTTTTCTTCCTCTTTCCCAAATCTTACATGGGGCAATGAATTCCTACCTCCGTACGCAAAGCCTGAGTGACACGGTAGCAGAACTGTCGTGGCTGTTCCCAGAAAACATGGATGCGCACGCATTTCCAGTTGGAATGCTGCCCCTTGCTAGTCTGTGGCGGCTTCTCCCAAATTTGTCCTTGCTGGTTTGAAATACCTTCCAACTTGGGACATCAACAAAACATGGGCAAAAACGTGGCCTTACCTTATTTAACCAAAAAAAAATATTCCCCCGTCCCCCCCGATGTCCTAGTCTGAACCGGTACATGACAGAAGTTCCTACTGGTGGTCCAGAGACTGTTTGCAATTTTGTAGTCCTTTTTATGATAGAGTACTCTTCTTTAGCTCGCTTTTGTTTGTAAAGTATTAAGGTACAAAGTTCAGCGTTAACAGTTAGGAATTACTACATTTGCATTTATTACTATGCGAATTGACTATGTATTACCTGAACCTCCTCTATATTGCCATGTTTTACGACTAGCTATGTGTTTCCTTCCCAAATAAACCCTTTTTTCCTCTGTGTCATCCAGTTTTCTGTCCTTGCGTCTGACGGGAGTGAAGTTGTAGTGAGGGGGGGTCAGCCCCGCGCCGAGTCTGGTGTGGCGGGGAGCCCGGGAAGGGCAGCCTGACCAGGGACGGGAGGACGGAGAGGGACGGAGAGCAGCAGCGGCGGCGGCGGCGGCGGCGGCG